AGAAGAGGAAATAGGTGTGATGGGGAGACTTGCTGTAGTGTCATTATTTCAATGCTCTGTAGAGTTTCTCTTTGCTTTCATTGAATATTTTCATATTCAAGGAACATAGTAAGGACAAAGAATAATTTGAAGATGCTTGCTGTTAACTTCATAAGCATAATATTTTTAAAATTCTGTTTAATCCAGGATCACTACTCACTAATCACTACTGAACTAGCAAAAAGATCTTATCACAACATTTCTTAATGGGAAGGCTTAGTGAGGCACTGCCATGTAATTCAGTCCCCTGAAACGGGATGTGGTACAGCCTAGGATCAGTAGCTAAATGTGTATGGGTTTTATCTGCTTCTTGCCATTACAGTAAAAGTGTTTTGGGGTTTCTTTGTACTTTTGGGAGATGATTAGTAACAAAGTTCATAAAAGATGAGCAATTTTGTGGAAAATGACCTAAGCCTGAATCAATATCGTACTGTTACAGGAAAGCAGACAGCACTGTGAGGTGTGTGAACAGGATCACTGAGAGCAAGACAGGAGTAACTCGTCTGTTCTGCCTGGCTGAATCAAGCCAGGAGGGCTCACGGTATTTCCATCAGGCAGGAGATGTCAAATGTCTCTGCTCTACAGGGGAAGGACTTGCAGGGAGTTCCTTGTGGCTCTGGCCTTTGAGGAATGCTAAAGATCAGTGACAATTTGGGGGATTAAGACAGCGACAAAGGGAGTGGGAATTACCTGTGGCTACCATGCCATGTCTGCTGAAGCAGCTGCTATTGTTGTGGACCATAAATAACATGGAAAAGCAAAACAAGGTGCATCAAAAAAAGGAGGTGGCCTTTTGACGAGAGAGCCTTTCAGTTTTAAAACTGATTTGATCAAAACAGCTATTTTTAAATAAGGATTTTTAATATGACAATGTTCCTTTAGAATAATCTTTCCAAGGACATTTTCCGGCGTACTTCATCAGAACAAATAACACGTTCTAAATTACACATCTTTATACCTGTGGTTAGGCCAGAACCACGCTAATATACAAATCATACCCTTACAGGTATTTAACAACATCATGCAGAATAAATTGTTCAAGTTTTAATCTTTCTAGTGGGCACCTGGAGCTCCCTTTCACTTGCATTACAGACCTAGAGAGACCTTTTCTCCTTCTTTGCCAGTCTTGGGGTGAGAACCCTTTATTGTTTCAGCAACCAATTCAGTCCTAGGCACTTCTACCTTCTAATGTTGTGTTTTCTGCTCTGCTTTTAAGTAACTAATCTGCAAAAGCACTGCTTTCATCTTGCTTCTTCATAGATGAATCCTGCTTTCCAGGCACGCTCCCATCACGCAGTTCTCCTTAGTGCTATTAACAGGTACAAGTGTTTTGAGGGAACTGTATCAAGGACGATCAGCGGGGCTGTATTTCACGTTGGTAACTGTCACTGGTTTCTAAATAAAATGTTAGGAAAGGTAGAGGTGCAACCGGACATGACAGCTGTATGCAGGCTACAGGAGTGTAGGAATATTTACAAGCTGAGTGTGAAATCATGAATTGTTTGCATAACTGAGAGAAAATCTGACCATAACAGAGCTGGTATTTTGAATTACACTTATTTGGACTTATTTTTGGGCAAAATGGGTTTCTGAGGAAAGAATAACAAGGAAAACAATTTGCATCACATTTAGGATTCAAATTGTAACCAGTTCATTTTTATCAGGGTTACTTGCTGGTTATGCTATCTCTGACAGTAAAATGTCAAGGAACACAATCAATCTTCTCATAAAATGCACTGAGGTGTTCAAAATAAATGTGTTGGTGATTACAGAGACTTGGGGTTCACTGCTGGATAAAAGGAATGACAGCAGTGGGCACATTACTAATTCCTTTGCATGGTGTAAGAATCATGGTGCCTTCTCCATGGTGTTGGCACAGCTGTGCAGCTGAGCTCTGGGCTGAATCAGGGAAATTATCCATCTTAGAAGAGTTTTAGTAGGTTTTTTATCCATTTACAGCTTTGGCTCCCCACACGTCCACCCAGTTGCTGCAGGACAGGAGCAGGAGTGAACGGGGTGCAGTGGTGGGTGGAAAAGTCCTTCACCAGCATCACTTCAGAAAGCTTGGCATTAGTATCCCACAACTAAATTTCAGCTAGGATGTTCGAACCTTTCTTATCTGGCAAAAAATATTTTTTTTTCCCTGCCATAATTAGTGCATTTTTATGTATTTTGTACTAATTTTTAAAAACAATGTTCACAGACTGTCCCATTATCTAACAGTGCTGCCTTTCATATTTATGAAACGTGTTAAATATGTTTGATGTGAAGGAAATGGCTGTTGCCTCTAAAGTCAGCTAAGTTTGCATCTTTCTGGAGTTTAGGTTCATTTTTTTTCTTAAGTTCTTTTCTTTTTTATTCCTTTGTAGGATCACGCTGTGCTCTGTAGATGTCCTGCTCTCCTGGCTGCGTGCTCCCTTCTCTGTTAGGATATTGCGGTGCCCGCTGCTCATGAATCCTTGCCAAAGGACAGAGTTTGTTGACTCCTGATAGTTTTAAGCAGCAGGTCTGTGCAGCGCTGTGAACCTACCTCCTGTGCAGATGTCTTTCGGTGCCAGTACCAGGCTTTGGCACAAACATCTCATCACACCTGCCTGGTGGCATGTACGGGGCAAGTAATAGCGGGGGAAAGGAAGGGTGAAGGTCGAGGACAGTGCTGGCTCCCTGCAAACAAGGGACAAATCGCAGTGAGAGCTTTGGAAATTCAGATGAGAGGTACCCAAATGGCATTAGCAGGGAGATACTGGCAGTCCTCTGCTCGTCCCTGAGATAACAGCACCAGCAGGGACACATTGAAGCTCAGGAAAGTGAATTTGCATTTAACACAGAGATAGTGAAATTGCCTCAGTCTGGCAGAAAGCTGAAGCCATAATAGTAACTAATTAACGTATATATTAACATATATTGTGAATATTAACATATATTAGGCTAATACATAAGCTAAATTACTTTGTGTGGGATGCCAGGGGAGGTTCAGGTTGGAAACGAGGAGACATTTCTGCTCAGAAAGAGCAGTCAGGCACTGGGACGGGTTGCCCAGGGAGGTGGTGGAGTCACCGTCCCCGGGGGTGTTCAAGGAGAGGTTGGACGTGGTGCCTGGGGACAGGGTTCAGTGGGTGACATTGGTGGTAGGGGGATGGTTGGACCAGGTGATCTTGGAGGGCTTTTCCAACCTTAAGGATTCTAGGATTCTATGTTGCATAACCCCTGGGACTTACCTTGTCTGACTTTAAAGTTAGGTCACAGGAGTCAAGGACTGAAGGGCTGACCTGTTTTGTAATTGCAATCTGGTCCTGAATGTTGGGATGGTTTTTTAAAGAACGAGTTAGATAAACTGTCTGTCAAGAGTTATTTAGGAAAAATAAGCACTGTTTTGGGTTAGAGAGTTAGAGACTCTTGCTCTACATCTTAGAAAGGGATATTGGGCCAATGCTTGCAGTTTTCCCTTAAGACAGGCTAAAATATGTTCATTGTCCAAGCTGAGAAAGCACAGATAAAAATCAGAAATAAGGAAAATGATTTTAGGCATGATTTCTGCTGTCCAAATGACTGAAAGTGTATTACAGGAAATTTATACTTGAGGTTTTTAGGATGAGTATAGACAATAGTATTCTGGAGCTTTCTTCCAGGGCACATAGATCTTCAGTAACAGTAAAGGAAAAAAGGGAAAGAATAAGTTGAGGGTCATGCAGAGTTCACCTTATGTACCTCCTGGACCTGGTCTCTTAGTTTTTAGTTACTAGCAAGAATTTCAGAGCAATATTTCATTGTGAAATCAGCATCATGGACTGGCTAACAAACGTTCAGTTTACTTTGACTTTGTTACATTCAGTTTGTATATTGGTTTATTATCATTTTTGCAATGCTGTTTTCAAAACCCAGGAAGAGAAGAACCTACCTGGGATGTAACATTTCTGTCCTCTGCAGTTTCCCCAAGCAGGGAGGCCATACAAGAAACCAGGAAGACTAAAATAGATGCCACGTGCTTAACAGCAAAGTTATGGGAAACGTAAGGTAAGCTTCAACTTTAATTTGAAGCAGATTGTACTTTTAAGTAAAGATATAATAAGTCCTAAAACACACTAGGATGCATTTAAATGTGCTGCATAAAAACGCAGAGCAATTAAAATGGAAATTCAGACTTTCTGGTATGTTGTTTATTCCCCACAGGGGTAATGTTTGGGAGGAGCTGGTATGCCATTAAGTGTTCTGAGTGCCACTGGTACAGCGTACTGAGTGCAACCGTTACACTTTGACTTCCCATTTAAGCTCCCAGCTTTCCTCTGTTTTAATTATGAAAGGCAGCCTTCCCTCCAGGCAGGAACCTTGCACAGGTACGCTCGTTCTTCTTCTGGAGAAGCCTGTCCTCTCTGTTGCTGAAAGAAGGGGTCGAAAAGTGGGACTCAGCACCTTCCTGAAATTCAGGTGACCTGAACAACTCCATTTTTTCTAAACTGATCGATTTTGGCCACTGTTTATGAAACAGCCCTGCTGGAGGAAGGTGAATGCTTCCCAGTCTGTGCTTTTCTCCTTTTCACAGCCTACTCTCTGCTCAACTCACTTAGTACAAGCTCTTTTTATCTTTCCACACGCCTTTTTCATTGTTTGTGCAAAAATCTTCTGTACAGCTTGTGCTTAATAGAACAGCCTTATATCTCTTTACTTCGCTGATTCCCCATCTGTTCTCCATCCAAACCAAAGCTGAAAATTATCCTCTGCTTTGCATAAATCTCTTCAGCACTTATTCCAGTGCTTTTATTACTTTCAATTTTAACTTGATAGGCCTGTGATAGACACTATACAAAATAGTTCTGCACTGGACCCCTAAATCATTAACTGGAAACAAATCTTCCTTCATTTAGGAGTTGTTCATTTGTAACTGAATGTATATGAGTTGAACACTTATTTTCCACGGGAGTTATATGTGCGTGATGTGTGTTCATAAGCATGGAGAGTAGTGCTGGTTTTTAACAGCATTAATTTTTAATTGATTATAGAGAGTGCTTTTCCTGAGCCTTCCTATAAAACTGTGAGTGTGCAAAAAGATGAACCGGGGTCCTCATTGGTTACTAGACTAATTGTGCTGGATAATGGTAGCACTTTCAGGCAGATTAGGTCCTACATAGGTTCAGTAACCATTGAATCATACAGCAAAGGAAAAAATGTCAGCAAAGTATAAGAAATCCCAAAGTTCGTTAAGCATCACAGAGCTAAGTTTCCAAATTTTACAGCCACCTTTTAGAGCTATTCCCTGAAACTAATTGTTTTGTCATCTGAAAGTTTATTTGCCTCCTTTTAGCTCTGCTGAACCAAGCAAAACTTAGCAGTCAGTCAGGCGTGGAAGCTCTTTTCACTCCTGATCTTCTCAACAGGCAGATCATTTTATAGAAAGGTTGTACATGAAAAATCCAAACGGTAGTGTGTCAGACTGACAGTGAAATGCCTCGTGATAATTACAAGTTCTGAGGTTTTTTTGAAGCATGTACTTGCTGATCTTATTAGGTAAGATTTTCATCTTCCAGAATTCCCCCTTTGGGAATTATTTATTAGTATTTGGGAATCCCCCCTCAGTGTGGCAGCACTGAGGCATGAAGATGACAAAAGGTGGAGCAGGAGCTCTTGGAGAACGATTCTTCTGAATAACGTGTATCAGGAACTCAAAGAAGCTATGTAGTGCAGATGGGTGTCTCGGTGTGTTACCAGCCTGATAATCTCAGTCCTCTATTTCTTCAGTTTCATATGTTTGCAGTGCAGGTCTGTACCACATAACATATTTTTTTGTATTTCAGTAGCCTCACAGTAAGTGGACCAAACTGAGGGACTACCACCATTTCCCTTCAAAGACAATATTTGTCAGGAAAATTTCCTTTAATTCTTCCTTTAGTTTATCCTAAATATTCCTATAAAATATATCATTCCATCATTTCTAGTTAATTATAATTATTTTTTATTTTACTTCGCCACAGACCTGAGTATTTGAAGTACCAGAAATCATTGTGATACGTGAGGATGTTGGTGAAGTGCATTTTGCTCCTTCAAAATGCGTTAAATCATTTAGAAATATAAGGAAATATTAGGACAACTAGACCCAGCTCCATCGCATACCTGTGCTTGCCGCCTTGTTAGAACGATGATCTCTCTGTCTCTGGGAAGATACTTGCGTGAGAAGGACATTATTTATATCAGTGAATTGAATTAATCTGTTCCTCCTGTGATTTCTGGCTGCATCACTGGGGTGACACTTGTGCCAAACTCCCCAATCCCATTAAGTGCTTTCAGATCATAGACCTGCCTTACTGACCCAGGACTGGTACGGGGCGAGGTATTACACCTGGATTTTAGGGTGTCTGTGCACTGTGAGGCTTGACATGGTTCCCAGGAGGGAAGAAAGACTCTCCCATAGCACTAACAAGACCTAAAACACATAGAATGACAAATAAGTCTTAACAGTAGATTAAATGCCTCATCCCTTTTATGTTTCCCTGATCATACAGGATGAAGCAGGTACACCTCGTGTGTTCTCTGTGGGGACCTATGCAGCAGTAGGAGATGCTGCACCTCACCCACGTGGCTGCTCACAACACTTTACTCATCTCACGGCACTGAGAGGACGAGAAGACTGGGAATTCCCTCAGGAGTTTGCTCAGTTCCTCTGTTATTCCTCTCACCATAGTCACGAAGGCTGAACTTTCACGAATCTGCCTGTCTGCTCCTCAGATGTGTTGGTGTTACCCCTTGTCTCCGAGGGTGGGATCCCTCTGACTACGTGCAAATGTCTGCATTCAGACCAGTCACACTAGCACACTTTGCAGGCAGTGGCATGGAGTAGGCACTTAATTACTGACTGAATAGGGATGGTTCACCATGATCACTTTTATTCGAGATCTGCAGTAGGACACGACTGATCTGCTGTAGGAGTGCTTTTTGACTTTAGGACTGATCCTACAGGAGTCTAGGTGGCAAGTTCGGTGTAGACATCTGCATGTAGCCAAATTAAATTTACATTCAGGGTCTTTGATCCTTAATTTACCTGGCAAGGCTTTTTTTCTTTCTCCTCCATGTGCGTGTATAAATCTACATGCTGTGTAAGTGAGACAGCGATGCAGCCATTTTAGTAGTTGAACGTTTTTTGTGTTAGAATTATGCATTTTTGAAAACATTGCAGGTTTCCATGGGACCCACTGGAACAGCAAAGAGAGCCTAAAAGTGCTTTCCTTTCTCATTTCCCTCCCCAGTTTTCCTCAACATAAATGCTCTTTAATTGCATTTTCTCCTGCAACAAAAAACATTTGGTTGCTTTTGTGGAGTCTGTGCTCCTGGATTAGCCAGACTTGTTTTTACTGCATGATTTTTAGCATAATGTTGTTAACATTATGCTAAACAACAGTACTGATACGCAACAACAGTACTGATAAACTTCAGGCTAGATCTGATCCTCCCGAAGAAACCATCAGGGTCCATCCAACCCTAGGTCTTAGCTAGTGTGTAACCATATCACAGATTTTACAGTTAAAATATATTGCAAGTAGTGAAGACAGCTTCCTAGTCGTTCAGTTTCCGACACTGCAGAACATTTCTGTATTGCTTCAGACAAAAAAAAAAAAAAAAAAAAAAGGATCGTTAGTGGGTTTTGTTGAGCAGTTATGTCACTCTGCTGGGAGGCTGCATTAGGCTGCCCTTTTTGTAGGAGTGCCCTCCACAGACTTCCGAACTGTCAGTTCCATCCCTTATGATTATCTCCTGTGCTGCTTTGAATATTAATGGCACGAAGCCGTCCTTGTCTGCAGTGAGCACAATCCAAGAGGAGCCTACAAAAATGAAGCAAAAAAGGAAATGAGCGTATGGCTCTGGTTAAAAGTGCACAAACACGTTTTAAGAAGCCATCCAGCACGTGAGCAGAGCACGCTTCCCTTTTGTACACCAAGACCTTGTCATGTTAATGACAGTAAGATCTGGCAGTCCATGCCAAACACATTTATGTGTAAATGCAAAGGGAAGCTACACAAAAGGTCTTGAGAGTTTTGTGGCATTTTATCCCTTATTTAAGTTAGGTTGAAAAAACAACCATCTCTTTGCTAGCTCTGATAAACCGAAGTATCTCCATTTTCTGAAAACTCAGCCAGCCTTTCCGTGCCAACTTGTGTTCCAGTGACATCTACTTCTGCTTATCCCTTTTGCTCATCTGCTCTTCCCAAATGACGAAGAGATCATAAAAATGGAAAAAAATTGGTAAAGAAAATCATTGTGCTGTGTTGGCTCTAAAGGGAATTTGGGATTTCCATCTCCTTCATTTAACCAAGATTGTGCAGTATGTTTACAATTTCATATCTCAAATGGAACAAGTTACACCTTGGAGATGGTTTCCAGAAGATATCATGATTTTAAAAAGCAGATTTACAAAAGCTATATATAATAAAATATATAGATATAATAAAATTCATTGTCCTTTAATTATTAATCAAAACTTTTCATAAGAAGACAATGAACAGAACCTGAATAATGTTTTAAATCTGTTTCCTTTTAGGAAAGAAAAAAAAAAAAAAAGGAGGCAAGATTAAATGACAAAGACTAAAATCATTCAGGATCACTCTCTGTATTACACAGAAGCAGAAAATAAATGTAGCCTCCCACACTTTGTTTTTTACCTTCCTTTGAAAGTCAGCTTGCAAATGAAGCTATATATACTTTTTTCTTTCTTTTTTTTCTTTTCTTTTTTTTTTTTTTTTTTCCTAGTGAGTCATCTGTTTCCTGTTGGACTGGATCTTACAGCTGTTAAACAAAATAGTGAACTTTCTGTTTGTCTGTTGTTCAATTTGGCATTTTGTGGAAATTAAAAAAATAGAAGAAAATACACTGTAGCAGCTGGTAAGCATTGTGGGAGCCCTTGTGTCCTGCATTTTCTTAGAGCATAGGATCCTGTCATTACTGAGCAGTGCCATTGGCTGGGATCTGAGCTAAAGAAAGCCTTGTTATGTTTTATTGTTCACATTTTTAATTTGGGGAGATAAGATTGTGTTTTGAAAAGGCAGATGGAAAAAGAGGATGGAAAAAAGGAACGGAAAGCCATGCTTAATTTCTGTCAGTTGTAACAAACCACGTTACTGGACAAAGCAAATCTCCCTTATACTATTAACAGAACACCTCCCTGGGCTGCGACGCTGTTCCAAGTTGTCATGTCACCTGTTACATCATAAGAAGCTTGTCATTCCAAACCATGAAGCTTTAATCTTCTCCTCTTAATACTTTCTTTCTAATTCTGGACAGTCTTCAGATTCTATAAACGGTGGGCCTAGAAGTGGAAACTCTGCTGTCCCAGTTGATAATATTGGTCAAATTGATAAAGCACACTCTTTTGCAATACTCCTAAGGCTTTTTATTTCCACCCAATGAAATATTTGAAATTCTCTGTGCAATTGGTAACACTGCTTTGAAGCATTCACCCCAAAATCCACTGAAGGCAGAAAAACCTTGTGCTGAATGTAATTCCCTTCTGCTACGCACAGTTATTGGCACGATGACCTGCAGAAAAGAGAGCCTTGTGTGTGCTAACACTACGGCGCTATGTGGCAGGCTATATTTAGCCCAGGTAATGGTATTACGGTCCTGGGCTTAATGCACACATGATGAGGGCAAGTTCATTGCTCGTATAACTCTTGTGATCCTAATAGCCTTGCTATGGGTATGAATGTGGTCTGCAGTTATAAGCTTTTTTTTTTTTCAATGCATTCAATTTTAGGTTCATAGTTAAAAAATGCTGGGCTATCACCACAGTACAAGCATACTTTTCATTATGTCCCCTTTAATTATAGAGCATTAAAGGATGGGAGTGATATTTTTAAACATCAAATTTAATATTCATGCCTTGTGGCAAAGGAAAGATTGAGGAATATAAACCTCACATGGTCATAACTGCAAAAACAGCCGCATAACTACCTCTGCCTGCAATCTGACAATTTTTGCAGGATTTTGGTGAGTTTTAGAAGGATTTTTCATTCAGTCTTTCTTCTTGCAGCCAACAAACAGGCTCAATTTCTGCAACACCAAGCAGTGCACTGTGCATGCAGGGGTCATGTTAGCATGATTCTGAGATGTTTTTTTGATATCTCCCAAGTCCAATGCATGACATTGAAGAGCAGAGTTCTGAGAAGTAAATATTCAGCTATTTCATAGAGCAGAAAATATGTTTTCTCTGGCACTTTATTTATTGTTTACATACTGAATTGTAAACCTCTTTGCTCATTATAGGTATTCGTTTCCAAAATCAAGAACTGGAAGTACGAGCCAAAAATCTGTCCTCCTTGCCCTGCAAAGCTGCTACAGTATGCTATCGCAGAAGCCTGCTGGGAAAGAGCTCCGGCCTCTGCAGCATGTGGAGGGCTTTGTGCTTGCCTCCACTGCACTACACAGGAAAGAGAAATTGCTGACAGAAGTACAAAACCTGCATGTACTTGTTATCTGCATATCCTGCATATCCATATTAGCTGCTGGAACAACTCCTGTAGGCCAGGGAAAAACTGAAATGTCCCAATGTGGCTGGGATGTAGGCAGCCTCCCTGGGCTGTGGCATGTATGTAGCCATCAGTTCTAGCTTCATCAGTTAGCCTGGTATATATCAGTCTGGTACGTAACTCTCATTATTTAGAACATTTTAACATTACTACTGTCCTTTTCATTTTGATCTCACCAAAAGTTGAATTAATTTCTCATAAAACAAAGTCTTCTGATGAAGCCAGCGTGTCTCAGCCTGTCAAGGGCTAAGACAAAGGCCAAGATAAAGTTATTTGTGGATCCCTCAGTGCAGAAACAAAGCAAGGAGATCATAATTGCAGCCAAGTACCGTGTACCTTAAGGTCATTATATAATAAGGCTGTGATGAGAAAAGCCATCAGAAGCACTGTAGAGAAATGGATAAGAGAAAGTGAGGGCCTAGGTTTCCCTGGCCACTTCTGTCTTTACAAATCAGTGGTGTTAGAAATGTGGGATTGACAAATCAGAACATCGAGCACTGCTGTTTATTTTAGATTAAAATAATCCCAAATGCTGCATGGTACATCTATCACTTTGTGAGAATGACTTTTCCTCCAACCTCCTCTTCATTGCCAGGTGTGGGGTACACTTGTGACGATGGACAAGGCAGAATGCCAAAAGGGCTCGGAAGGAAGTATTTCTATTTCCAGATAACCCACTGGACTGATTATTTTTTCAACCTTCCTCTGCAACGGCATCCAACATATTACTCTGGTAATAGGTAGTTCTGCAATTACTTAGCATTTAAGTGAATTTAGCCATCTGCATTTGCTACAGCATGGGGTAATTACCACAAATGCCTCATTTACACTAAAAATCTCAGTTGAAACCAGATACCAGAAATAAAAAGAACATACCATGTTTCATTTCAATAATGGGCAGATCAAACAGCTGCTGGACTAAATTCAAATGGATCTTGCCATCACAGAGGAGAACATCTTTTGTTTCTTCAGTTACTGCTCCATTTGAAAAACATTTCTTCAAACGCATGTATGTAAAAGAAAAGATCTTGTTAAAGGTTTAGCTGTTTTACCTGAATCCTTTTAACTATTCCCCTGTTCTCAGTCCTTTCAATTCTTTCATTATTTTGCATTTCCTTTCTCTGTCATTGCTACAGTTTAGAGATGGCACAACTGTGGAGTGCAATTTGAGGCAGAGAGCCCCATGGAAAGAGGCACATGCCTCTTTGGCTTTTGCTTTTTGTGCTTATGTGGCACAAACTGCATCACCCCTTCATATCAAATACATCAGGCCCCACGTTCCTGTGGCCATTGGGTCTTTCTGGCTCAAGAGTCAGTTCAGTGGAAGGGAATATTTCATGCCTACAAGGAAGTTGCTTAAGTCTTGTGCTACCAAAGCAACTGCTTTGGGTTCTGCTCAGTTTGGGCTGTACGTGTGGGTGTTTCGATACTCATTGTTCTGCTATTCCGCCCCAGTAAAATGCCATTTCTGGCACAGAGGATTGCAGAGAGGCTGTGCATAGAGACAGTCTCCCTGAAAGCTGCTGTAGCAAGGTGGCTTGGGAATCATACATGTAAGGGTGTTTTTTTTTATTGATAGAGAGAGAATATATGGATCTACTGCCCTGGAAGTTCTAACATTCCCTAAAAAATATGTGTTTGAATATAAACATGGCATACTCGAGGTGGCACTCGAGAAGTTTAGCTGGTCTTGAGAACTGGCACCTTTGTGTTCTGCCATTCAGGTTACTACAAAGTGCAAGGACCACAAAAATATATTGTTAATATTGTCAGTGGAGTTAATTCATTCTATGTGTTATGGAGTGAATATGGATTTGCATTTGCAATTTCCCATCTGATATCTTTTGAAAGTCAATCGTAACATGAAAACTCCCCCAGTGACCATAAAACTGTTCTGTGTTGTACATTTAGAAGGGATCCAAGTTAATGTTTTAGAACATCTTGAAAAGAAGTCGTCTGTGCTAACTCCTTTTCTTGTCCTACCCTGTCTGCATCTAACTTTATACCCTTGCATCTTCCTTTCTGATACAAAATTATGTTTGAATAAGTTCCCAACTGCATCTGCTATTTCTGTACTTGGTAATCTGACATTTGACTAAACACATCTCTTTTAATGATTGTCTTTTCATTTCTAATTGTGCTGTCTTTTGACTCTCCCAGTGAGCACGTGCTTTTTTGCTGTGCAACAACTTTTCTAAACCAAACAATCACTTCAGTTTTTCTGTACGTGGTATGTATGCTCTCATGCAACAACACTGAACTCTGCTAGTCAGAGTGTCTACCAAACTCTATCTTAATTTGGCCATGCAGATAAAGTATTTTTTTTGTTGTTGTTGTTTTTATATTTTTATCAGCTTGTTTTTTATTTATATATATATATTTATATATTTATTTATATATGATAGAAGGTGTAAGAACTGTAAAAATATCTTTCCATTAAAAACTTCACCCAACTTTCAAAGGTTTCCTCATCTCTTTGCCTGTTCAAAACAGCCAGAAATTTGTTGTTGTGCAATTAATGGGGAAATACCAAAAGAATCCTTAATCAAAGAAATATCATTTTCTTAGCCATAAACCTAGAGTAGCTTCTTATTACAGCTATTGCTATATAAGAGAAATGTCATTTTTAGGTTACTTCAAATTACATTGTTTTGAACCTAAACATACTTAAAACTCAATGGGCTGAACTGTCAGCTTGGCATTTACATTCCCAAGACGCTATTTGCCTGCTGTGTGTTGTGGATTAGTACATCTGAAAACCACTGCATTTCCCTGATCTCAGGCTGAAATACCAGAGTTTATTCAAACCTGTAACTCAGTTAATGGATTATTAAAAAAGATGAATGTCAGTTGAGACAGGTTCATTGCCTTGACCCAAGCAGTTCCTTTTTTTTTTTCATGCAGATATGCTTCAACCCAAGAATAATCAGAAAGTGGTCTAGCAATGTCTCTGTTGACTTGAAACCCACTGCATGGAAATGTATATTTAGGATGACTTTGTTCTAGTGTGCTTTCTACTTAGCCTTTAAAGTTACAATTTTGACGGGTATTAGAAGTTGAAAACATTTTTGTGCATAAAAACCTACATGGCATCTCTTTTGTAAAACCCATGGTTTTACAGTTTTTCAAGTACAGACCTCAAAGCTTAAGTTTCAGAGGTGTTTGTCTTTCATCACTTGTGAGCATTCATATTAGCTGTTCTCTCTTTGTTCTATACTTCTGTTTATAATGATAAACCTGATCACATTTACATTTTATTTTTTTCTGCTGACAAACTCAGTCAGGTCCAGGATCGTTCAGTTTCAATCTTCTAATTATTTAGCCTCTTTTTGTTTAATGGTGGGTTTAAGTAATGATAACGTTCCTCTTTGAGGAATATGTTCACTCACATCACATATATTAACTGAATTAACTTAATGCTCTTTTGAGAGGTAGGTAACTCTTTTTATTCCCTTTTTATAGATCAAACCATTACACAGAGATTGACCTTGAGAGATTCACTCACCTTAGTACTTGCCATTATCATGTGTCGAATAAAAGACCATTTTCTAGCCAAATTTTAATTTAATCCACCACTTCCTAAAATATGTACCTCTGGTTTTGTTGTGTCACTGTTTATCTCCCACTGAAGCCAGAGACTTCATATTAATTTTCATATTAAAAGCTCTTTCTGCTGGTTGTCTTATTTTAAACCAAAGTTTATTGGTGGATTAAGAACATGTTAATCACAGAATAAGCAACTGTATTTTCACATACATGAGGGGATATTTTCAGATAAAGCTTCTGCAGCCAAACACCTGTAATCTGTCAGGTCCAGCCCTCCCTCAACACAAATCCAACAGAAACAAACCATCGATTCAGGAATTGCTTTCCCTCAGCTGTGTCAGCCTGCCCCTTGACCATTTTATAGCCTTTAAAGGATCTCCTGGGCTGCAGCCAGCCAGTCGTGCTGCTGCCAATTTGTCTTTCAAAACTCATGGTTTGGAGCACAAAGAAAACCATTGACCGAGGCAAAAAAGGCTCCTGGATTAGGTGCTATACACCATAAAACCAGACAATAAACAAGCGTGTCTCTTCTAACTTTTTGGATTCCCACTGAGCAGCTAGCCAGTTCTGCCTCCCGATCCTTTTCACTTCTTGTCTTTTATTTCCGAACACACTGCCTACAGCTACCTGGATGCTGAGATCGTCCTTGTGAGCTTAAATTCGATAACTGATGAAACAGTGACGTGAATCAGGACATGCTCCAATCAACAACATTTTTACTACCTCTGGGTTAGTAACTGATTGCAGTTTGCTTGTGTTGTTCCTGCACGTGGATGTCTAGAAATGGAAACTGTCCAAGATGAGGCCCCACAGCTGTGTTGCCCCCACCTGCATTTCTTACTGCATGCACCTCACCAATGCCTCACCAAGCCATAGCCTTGGTCTTTCCATAAACGCGTCGTATTCCTAATTCATTGTCATCTTGCAGTCACTTAACACATGCAAGTGTTTGTCTTCCTCAGTTGTTTCCAGCTAATGAATATAGTTGATAGCAGAAATTCCTGCTTTGTATCCTGGAATTTCCAGTATGCACTTCATATGAGTTCATTTCAATCCATTTTGTCTTATTCGAGATGGTAAGGTCATTAAATCACAGGTGTCATATTCTGATCCCCAACTGAAAATACCACAGACTTTATGCCATAAACAGATTTTATTGGCATATCTCATCAGGTTATTAACGAAACTTTAAGATCAGCCTGAAGACCAATCATGTGAAATCCACTAGAAAATTTCTTATTTTTTTTTTCAAATATATATTTAGAACTGTTTGCTGTCCTCTTTCCAGCTCATTTCTTAACCATCTTCATATTTCTTCTATTAATCCCAATCCCAATATTAATCTTTCTGTTGAACAAATAACTTCCCATATGGCACGATTTTGAGTGCTGTACTGAACAGTGTTTTAAATACTCTTCCTATCTTTTGTGTTAATAATCTCATCTTTATAAAGGAAAGGTATCGGGTTTGTCAGCCACATCTGTGCGCTGCAAGACGAATAAGGGCTGCAGTTGCTTGGATCTGTGTTTTCTTTTCTTAAACCCTTGATTTCAGCTCTTTGAGCTGTGCTTCAGTGATAATTCCAGTTCCGAAACCCCGGTCCCTATTAGTCAGCTTGCTTTTGCCTTGCCCCCACATTCATCGTGTGGGATGCCAGAAACTGGTGAATTATATAGATGTGGGGGATCTGACCAAGAAGACAAGGAAAAGAGAGCTCGGTGGCTACGGAGGAGCACTGAAGAGGAAGGAGAACTATGATTTCCAACACTCAGAGAGCTCTGTGGCACAGCCTCGTGCAGCATCGCCACAGGTACCACCAGTGAGCTTTGGCAGCCTGTGCTGCTTCCCTCTCCACCCTTGATTTTTGCTGCTGGGATCCCGGTTTGATTTCTGGTGGATCCTGATTTTATTTTGGTGGAGCTCTCAACAGCTCAGCATCTTCACATGGCCTTATGTGGGACGTTCCAGCTGCAACCCTAAGTAACCTGTCAGAGAAGAGTAAGCCTGTAAAATGTTTGAATTAGAAGAGATTTGAGGTGCTCAGGGGTGCTTAAATCCCAGCTCAGTTTGCATTTATAGCACACAGAAGGACATGTGTGATGTGATGCTAGCATTTGCTAGCATTTCTCTGCTCTTTGCTCCCTCTTAATAGCTCTGCAACTAATGTTGCAGGTGTCTGGTCATCTAAGGCATGCCCTTTGTCATCCTTGATCTTTGGGATTTTTGTTGGTTTGCTTACTCAGACCTTTACTTTACAAAAGCTTGGCTTCATTTTTGGCAGTACATTTGTCTTTTTGTATCTGGCACCCAAATGATCTGGCCTAATGAAAGGTGTTGCATCTCCACTACAAACCCTTCTTGCCTGCTGCTGGTCACCTTCACAACACTGTCGTCAGAATTTGTTCTTAACAGATTCCTCACCCTTTGCTCAAAATGTTATCCCTGCATTAATCACCCCTGGTCTTGACTACTGCAGGTCTTTTATGGTCATCCTAAATCTCTTCCTTCTAAACTTCAGGCTGGCTGACTAGTTTCTTACTCCAGGGAGCAGTCATAACGCCTTCCTCTTCCATCATTTTCATGACTTTCTTTCTATTGCTCGACTCGAGGCAAAATTACCCTTTGGATTTCCAGAAGGTTCGTGGTCTTATCATAGCTGATCACTGCAGCCTGCTTTCTCCTTATCTCTTTGCTCATTTTACTGTCACCCCCCCTTCTTTATCTCTACTGCATGTATTTGTATCAGCAAATTTATTGCCACGTGTTTGGATCCCTTCAGTTCATCTCCCAGCTCTGTGTAAAAATTGTTGATTTTGTAGCTGACCTTGGCAATAAAGTTTCCCGTAGTGAATTGTAGGAAGGTATAAAAGTACAAATTGTCTTGTATCTAATTGTTGGTGAACGCTAACAAAAGGAAATAAGGAAATCCTGTTGACTAATTGCTGAAAAGATATTTATTTCCTGTGTAATCAGGCAATACGTGCTTTCTGTGATGTAGGTTTTTGACATAATGCTGCTTGTGAGCAAAATGCAGGAGTTTTTAAGATACTCTTCAGATTAAGATGAATTTTATTCCTCCTGGAGAGGTTCCCCTAAATGCCATTATTTCCAAATCCAGATTGCCTTTATTTCCACTCTAATTAGCTTTTGAATGAGGCTAGTTTAAATATTCTGCAGCTGTTTCTTTTCTGGGGGAAATGGATGATAAAAGCATCTTTTTGCAAGATGAAACAGAAACAGATCTGTGGCAGATCTTCATCTCTCTCTTTTTTTTCCCCCTTGTTAAATAATATCTCCTTATTGTGTCTGTCTGTCTGCCCTCCCACACTAGCCTGAATCACAAGTCTGTGTGTGATGAAAGAGCAATAATATTTGCTTTTCAGGGTTGAATGATCAAATCACCTCTGGTGGCTGGCTGCTATTACACAAGTGATAGTGCAGTGACATTTCCGAAGTGTGAGTGATCGTGTTTTTCTTTTATGGCTGTGGGCTACGCAGAATATAAATTCTGGTAGTGCCGCATGGACATGACTTCAGAGAAGTTGTGGGCAGGCCAGCACTAACAGAATAAAGGTTTTGAAGGCTATTCAGGAAGAAGACATTCTGAATAATTAAGCAATACGCATTCTGGTTTATATTACGGTTTTCTAAGCAGATCTGGTATCTTTATGTACGTCAGTAACACTGCTGCACAGCAATGTTCGTCACTGCCTGTTAATCATTGCTATATTTTTATCTATTATGCTTTAAACTTTTATGTTTTTAATGTGTATGGTTGTGTAGTACTGCTCATTCTACTTTATGGTAAAATTTCTCAATCAAGATCGAGCCTCTGCTGTGCTGGGGGTTGCACAAACACCTGACCCAAGAAGTTGCCAGATAATGGCCATATTATTGACCAGACTGCAGCTCCTAAAGTTTAGAGTCTTTTCCACAGGCTGATATTTATTTCATATGGCAATAAAGCTATTTCCTGACTTTCTGCACCGTGAACACAGAGCCTGGCTGGAACCCATAGCCCAGCTGGTCCCTGAGCTCACGGGGCGCTCCTGCAGAAAGAGCAAGGTTCAGATGTCTGAATTCAAATTAATTAAAAGAACTTATCTTCTGAGAAAATTATCAGCTGCCTATGAAGCAAATATTTCCCTGTCTGTCTGGAGGCCTTTTTGCCATCAGTCTATTTTTCATTATTTTTTGGCATCATTATGTGATGCTGCTGGATTTCAGATGAGGGGCTGAACTACTCAGGGCATTAGATGTGAGACTTACCCAGAAGATCTATGTGTTGGGAAGACATCGAGTGGCATTTTCTGAGTCATTATAGTGTAGTACTAGAGGGGCTTTCTGCTGACTCAATGTGAAATTAACCTGTTTAGATAAATAAGAGACTTCCTTTTTAAATCTAGTTACTTTGGCAATATTTTAGGCACACTAGTTTTATTACGTAATATTATTATTATTATTATTATTTATTTATTCCCAAAGAGGAAATCAGGAAAATTAATTCTTACTGCTTGTGTAAGCCAACATGTGCATGTTGACTTCAGATCTTAGGTTAATGTTAGGTGTCACAATCAGAACTTCTCTTTGGAAAGGTTAATCCAATCAAATCCAAGAAAAAGGGGCTACTTGATAAATAAAGAAGTTGATTTATATTAAGAAATGAGAATTAATTCAAACATGCTGGGGAACAGAAGATCTTGCTTCTTGCTAAATAAAATCCTAAATTATTTAAAATAGACCTTTTTTTTTTTAACCAGAATTTTTATAATATATTCAAGTTAAATTATTGACTAATTCAGATCAAAAGCTTTGTTTTTATCCAGTGTACTTAGCATACCATCATCTGCTAAAATGCCAAGTAAATAATTGCTAACAATTAATGAATATGTTTAAATCGAGTCACGATTCCCTTAATGAATGTTCAAGGAGGGGTGCTTAGACGTCTGTATGGATCCCTTTGAAACAAAAGGAGGTCGTTATTCTACAACCATGAGTCAAATTTGTCTAAGAAATACATACTGCAGCAGCAGCATTACGAAATTAATGTATTACTTGAGTTAACTCTGCTTATCTTGCAACAGAGAATGCATTTGCAACTGGCATCAATATCCCGAAAGGAACCCTGGTTCTAGCAGCGATGCCAATAGAATCAGGATGAGCAAACTATTATCAGTATAATATTGGTATTACTGGTAATGATACTAAGAATAAACACAAGAAATAATTGCACAGCCTTTGTTCCTTAGTTGAAATTCTTATTGAAGCCAGCAGGAATTTTGTTAAAATAAGGGTGGGATAGGAACATGGTGATTTGATATTCATCTATTTATTTAATGAAATGATAATTGCATACTGGCAGATAATTCTTCTGAAAATTTGTAGTGATAACACTTTTTGCAAATTGATTGTGTCCAGTTGTGTAAAGATTAACAGTGAGACATTGAAGTAGAAATAAGTCAGCTTTGTATCATTCCCACCTGAATTTTCCCCAAGTTGATATTCAGTACTTTGTTTCAGCCTTCATGAGAGTCTAGCTACCTTCAAACTTTGGATTTGAGCTCAGGTTTGACTTTATTAGGTTTCTGGTGGGGATGCCTACTGATAGCTACTCACAGGCTCCTCTCTACACTAAACTAACACACAAACCTTTTTGTACATGTAGCCACGTGTCTTTGTGCTCTTATTTGATAGAGGCACACAAAGTCAGCTACTATCCATGACAGTTTTGCTTAGAAGTTTTGCAAAGAAAATACACAGCTCTCCCACATGAAGTATCCTCTAAATCCATGTTAGTCTTAGTTATTGTTTCAGTGACAAAATACCATTTTAAATTAAGCTCGATGCCAACCTCAGGTTGCATTTCTCATGGGTTGGTAAGAATTAAACTGCATCCTCTTGATCTAAAGCTATATAAATAAAATATTGCTTTAAAGTTCAGTGGATTATCACAATATTTGTAAATTGATGAAAAAATTACCTGATAAGTGATATGAACAACCGGCGGTTCCTGTGAACACGGGTAGGCTAAAGATACCCTTCTCCCATTTTTAGCAAGGTCTGTTATTTCGGAAAGACTCAGTTGTAACTCGTTGAAGCTGCCGCAAAGTCTCTCTAAATTTCTGGATATGTGACTCATTCCTCTTTCACTTGGCAAATTGTTATTTTTAGAGCTCGATGTTTCTTGGATCACGCTGAACTGCACTTTAGGGGAAACTGGTCTACTGGAAGGCCTGGCAGGTGTTCCAAAACCAAGAAGAGCCATTGAGCGATTGGTAGGTTCAGCATCCAAATTTTCCAAGGCAATGGAGGTGTCACCTGGGAGCTTTTTCTCATCCAGGTCACTAACACTTGAGGAAGAGCTCTGCTCATAACTGGGGCTCTTCACTTCTTCAATGAGTCTTCTCCTGCCACTAGGAGACTGAATAACTGTGCTTCTCGGTATCAACAGCTCCCTGCTTGGACCTTGGTCTTCTGTGGCAAGATTTTCAAAGAACTTTCTTTTTCCAGGTATGTTCACAGAGGATACAAAGCTATAAAGCATGTGCTGCTTCGTGTCTGGCAGAGCTGAAGAATCCTCTTCCAGCATCAGTTCTTTGGCCATCAGGCGCATTACGTACCTGTCTGAACTTGATGAGGGAATGAAGTTAGGCTCGGGGAACTTTTGCTTCCCGATGAGGATCAACAGGAGCTTATCAGTCAAAAAGCACAGGCCCTTTGGTCTTTCATTTTTTTCCAGCTGGATTTGTTGAATATGGGGCATGCAGGAAGAGGTCACTGAATACACTAAAACAATGTTAGAAGTGTTAGAGGCTACTGCCACAATCTGAGCTCGAAGGTCAAAAGCCATAATGTCAGGAACCAGAATACCTGGGATGGTGACTTTTCTGGTGGTGGTTACCTTCCTCTCAAAAGTCACCAAGATCAGGTAAGAAGAATCTTGACCATTTATTGTTGCAGAGTCTTTGCGTTTCAGGGTAATGAGAGGACCGGGATCAGACCGCCGGTGGTTTGCAAGGATATGGGTTAAATCCATAGGTCCCGATGAAGAAGAAGCTATTGAATCGACAGTGCCTGACCTGTCTGAATCTGTGGACCTTCGTCGCAGGTCCATGGAGTATTCCTCATCGCCAAACACCATAGACTGTGAGACTAAAGAGCCAGTTTCGGTTCCAGATGGCGTATCAAACGTAATGCCCGCGTTCAAGCCGCAGATGTTATCCAAAGGAAGCTCGGTAGCTACAGCAATTTGGAAATCCAGCGTGGCTTCCATAGCGCAGATATAACCTCCCACATCGAAGACTGGGCAAAAGGAGCAGACGTTTAGAGTTTTCTGAGCATCATCCCAAATATAGGAATGCAGGGCACTGCCTATAGCGACTACCAAACGATTGCCATCCTTCGTCCAGCAAGCGCAGTGAATAAGCCCACTGCTTTTGATGTCTGCCTTAACTCTACTATTGTCTGTACGAACAGCATGCAAGACTGAAGCGTCTCTCTTCGTAAGCACAGCCAAGACCTCCTGTTTCGGGTGCCACACACAGCCCTGGGAAAGCAGTGGAAACGGCTCCCCGATTTCACAGGTCTGAGAAACCAAGGGTTTGTTCTTCTCGGTGGCGCTGCAGCCCAGCTGCCAAACGCTGACGTGCTTTTTGTGCTGAACAGCGAGCAGAGCTGGCGTCTCTGCAGAGCAACACGGGCCCCAGTAAAGCCCATACACGTGTTCAAACTGACCGACAACGCTCGAGTCTCCAAACTTCAGCTCTCCGTTCTGGTAGTACAAGGCAGTCAGCACCACTTGCTTCCCATCTGTCCAGGCGATTCCATGCACGGGGTGGATGGCTTGATATAAAGCATTGAGACCAGTTCGCAGCAGCTTTGCCTTTCCCAGCTCCATCCTTTGAGATTTTCTCCCTACTGGTGATTGTTCCAAAGTAGAAAATCCATGGAATTCATTTGCAGACCATGATGAGGAAAGAAAAAAAAAATAGATCTTTTATTTCCTTCCCTTCCTTTGCAGAATCAAACTGTGTTTTGTTTTGTTTTTTTTTTCTGCTAATTGTCCACGAGCCTATATTGTGAACGCCTTCCCAGTAAGCCTGCAGCTGCTCTTCTAAGTATAAACCCATGTCAAAGCTGCTTTTGCTATGTCTTTTCCTGGGAGGAGTTATCATCTTCATGTGATGGCTAACAAGGTTTAACCAATTACTGTACGTTTTCGTAGAAGTCTATTTTTAACTCTTCACTGCTGGGTGTGTGTTTAAAAATAGCATTTAATACCTTGACCTTCAGTGAATGAAGGTCTTTGGTGAAGGCTGGAGAGAGATCGTATGCCGTTAAACCTAAGTATTAAGCTACAGCCTGAAATAATGACCTAACACTTCTTTCAACCAGCCTTTGAAGGGTAAAGGAAGATTTAAATATATCCGAGAACTGCACAAGGCAGACTGCAACCTCTGATGGACAGCGCCTTTCAGGGATACATGGCCCCAAGTGGCTGTGAAAGGAAAGGAGAAAAAAAAAATCCTGTTCTGTTCTGTTAGTAATTCCAGGAAGATGAAGGAAGGTGAAATTAAATATATATACATGTATATATATATTCTAGAAGTAAGGACAGCTGACTAGTGTTCATTTTACGGGGTTGGATTTCCTAGCTGCAGTCATATATTTATTTCTTTCTTGGTCTTCCCAGCCACCTATATGTGAGGACTCTTCCCTCAACAGGCAGCCAAAATGTATTGCTGAAAATAAATGTTCAGGGTGAGATCCCATACTCAGAGATAAGCGACCATTGCTATTAGAAATGCCCTAGGATGCCAGGGACAGCCAAGGGGGGCTGGCAGGTAGGGCACAGGGCTTGCAGAAGGTTAGTGCCACCCCGGGTGGCAATAGGCAGCACACAGACTATCCCTAAATAGCCCCGAGACCACCAAAAATGGTGTTAGAGGCTTACGGGCAACTGGATCCCATCCTCAGCATCTTTATGTGGTTCTGGGTTTGCTGCCAGCTCCTTTCTGCTTTGATGCAACTTGCGTCTCTTGTGATTTTCATGACAAAATAATGTGAATTAATTACACCTGGGCAAAGCAGGTTGTAAAGTGATCGGTGTGATAGCTACGGTTAAAGGTTTAAGACAACTGTAGATATTCTGCACCTTTGGCTGATTTACAATTTATCTATTTTTATATTCCACCTGGCAAAAGGTGACCTCTTATTGGATCACCGCTGCAAGAATTTTCTTAATGTCCTTTTCCCAGGTGTATTTAATGGGGATGGTGAGTACCACTAAAGAACTCCCAAATTTATGTAAAGTAATCATGCTGTAGTCTCATTCACAGCTACGTGCTTTTTGTAGCTTATTTCATGAAGACTGCATTCAGAATCGAAATATTTTATCCTCATCAAGGACAAACCAGCAGTGGTGACTGGAATAGGTGAAAATCAAAATTAAAGAAATAGGTAAAAAAGCTAAATAAGGAGGTTAGAAGATCCATTTTTTTAATGTAAGTCTCCTAAATTATTGGTCTCTGTCTGTGCTTGCAGTGAGAGCATATTTTTAATGCTTTTACCTTACTGATTGCTGACACTGATTTCCAGGCAGTCCCTAAGAAGCCACACTGCCTGTCTCACTAGGAACTCTGACCAGGCACTTTCTTAAAGTAGCTGCAGGAGTACTCTTTCATATATAGAGGTAGCTTTTTTACCCATAGTAGTTATAAGAAACAGATTACGTTAAAAAACAATCCCAGCAGCTCCACAAAATTGCAGAGTCTGTATAAGATATTTTTGTTTCGCTTTAAAATAAGGTCACTTAGCTGCTTTGCTGTCTTCTGGAAGTATTTTACTGATAAAGCTTTTTTTTTTTTTTAGCACAACCACCTCATCTACATTCCGAATGGTGCTTAAAATATCATTAAAAACCAAACACCAACAACAAAACACAAAAACAACACTATGTTGCAGCTGGATTCTAGTAACCTAGAATGTGGATTTGATACAGACACTTCTGCTTCAGTATGACTGAAATGCTCAGAAAATGTTTCACTAAGGAGGATATGTGTTTTGCCAGCTAAGCAGACATCTTGAGATCATAGACTACTCACAAGGAAGATTGTCTTTTTCTTTTTCTTTTTCTTTTTCTTTTTCTTTTTCTTTTTCTTTTTCTTTTTCTTTTTCTTTTTCTTTTTCTTTTTCTTTTTCTTTTTCTTCTTCTTTTTCTTTTCCTTTTCCTTTTCCTTTTCCTTTTCCTTTTCCTTTTCCTTTTCCTTTTTTTCTTTCTTTTCTGGGGGTCCTGGTAGACACCAAACTGGACGTGATCCAGCAGCGTGCCCTTGCTGCAAAGAACACAAATGCAGTTCTTGGCTGAATGAGGCAAAGTTTTGCCAGCAGGTCGAGGGAGGTGATCCTTCCCCTCCACCCAGCACTGGGGAGGCCACACCTGGAGGAGTGGGTCCAGCTTTGGACCCACTCCTCAGTTCACCAAGATAATGCATCTCCTGTTTCCTGTCACATAACATCTCTATGTCCTGTGGTATAATTGTTCTAGAAAGTTTGAAGCAAATCAGTAAAAAGCCTTAGTAGCTATGGAGTTACACTCTTCAAAGCAAAGGAGAACCCGGGAACTACAAAGAATCTTTGTAATGCAGCTTCAGTGAATTCAAGGTGAGGCCCACCAAGGAGACAGAGAACCTCTGAAGAGTTTGCTGTCCCCTTTCCTTGAATCTCTAAGTCTGTGTTTCTTGAAATCTGCAGAGCTTGGACACCCTACAAGGTTTATTCTGTATGCAATTGAGTTTGAACCTCCGGCTCCATTGAGATAACATTTGAGGATCTCAAGGAAAATTTCCTGCCATGGTTCATTTAGCAGGTTTTTGAGTGGGAGGGAATAAGGTGGGCCAGAAACTTGGGTGTGAACGGAATCGCCTCCCTGAACACCATACATGAGGAAAGTAAATTGAGAAAGATCACAGTTCACAGTTTATCTTTAAAAAATTTTCCAAGTAATGGAAGACTTGTGAAATACACAAATGAAAAAACCTAGAGCTATGCTGTGATTACAGAATTTAAATAATATCTGGATCAAATCAAGTTCCAGGCACAGACAAAGTGCAAATGAAAGAGACTATGAGGGTTTTTTTTGGCACAATCTCATTTTTGAGAAAGATGATCCAATTTGGGGCCGGGGGTTTTCTTTTTACTCACTTAGCATAATTTTCTGGAAACAGGTAAAACATTTCAGTGATATTTCTGTGTCACCTTGGCATGCAGAAACCTATATAATGCCTAAAATAAAGTCTGGTAATTGAAAGCTGTCCTGGCAATGCTATAGTTTTTCTTTGAGACCCAGAGTAATCTGCTAGTAATCTGAGACAGTCCAGTGAGCGACCACAGTCTTTACAGGGACACTGAGCTAGATTCTGATCCTATTAGCACCACGTTGCCACTGAATAACATTGGTATTACTAAGATCAGAATGTCACCCACGGTTTAAATCAAATATTTCGGCTGGTGGCACCTTTGCTGGCCCTGTCCTGCAGAGTGATCCCAGCCAGCTGGTCTGCGTCTCTTCAGAGGAGGTGGTTGTTGGAAGCACCAAACGAAGTCCAGAACTGAACACCATCCTCTGATGGTATGGTAATGGCTAACACGTAGTTATGTTGATAGAACATAACAATTTAATAGTGTCAGTAAGTTCCCATCGTTCTCAATGAACCCTGAAAAACCAAATCCAGCCCTCAGAGCGGCAGAGGTTGAGCTACCCTTTTTTATAATACTCTTTTTATATTGCTGTTTTCTCCCATTGCTGTACCTACTATTCACCTGTCTGGGGAAATGGTGAATATTTTTGTGTTCAATATGAGTCAGGGATAATGAGATCCAGGCTCTTAAATATATTTACTTGCCTATTTCCTGTCTAGTGGGAGATAGGTATCGCAGTATCTCTGTGGATCTGAGTTGAGTGCCTTGCTGGAAAAGCTGAGATTCAGACTTCATTTTCTCCTTTATTCATGGTAAAATAACTCCTTCTGGGCTAAATCTTGCTTCAAGTTAATTAAATTGATGTTAATATTCCTGGTGACTTCAAAGGAAGACAGATTCAGCTCCATATGTAATGAAAACATAACAGTAATAATTTTTCTAATACTAATTTAACTCAGATTTATAAAATGTCTAATGCTTTGTGATATTTCTACTTCAAAAACATTTCTATTTAAAGCTCCCCGCCATGATTTCACCAATTTAAGTTGATGTATCGTTTAGCTCGAATACTTTCAAGAAGCTTGAGTAATGTATTTATTTCTCCACATTGACGTTTCTTTTCCTTGAGATCTGATTTTAAAAAATAGTTATCTGTCACAGGCTGACTGGAACAGAATGTGAAAATGATGCACAGTTAATAAAGATACAAAATACGTAATCTGTCAGAGCAGATCTACTGATCACGCTATGTAAATCAGCATCCTCCTGACAGCGATATGTCTGCGAGCTGTTGCTGCTCTCAGAAGGGGATTTAACCCGCTCTTCTGCTGGTGAGCTCTGGTAGGTATGTGCCAGGTGAAGACCTAATGAAACGTATTGTTTAAATAAATACGTTCAAGGAAACTGTTAAGAAGCTCGGTTAATTAAAAATAAATAAATAAATAATGTAAGTTGTTATGTAAAGGCAAAGCCCCAGGCTTTTTTAGGCAGGCTGTATTCTAACTAGGAGAATAAACTATGAAGAGTTCAGGCAGGGAAGTCACAGCTTCTCTCTGTGTCTCTTTTTTTTCCACATTTCAGCATCACAGTCTCACAGGAGTGTTGTCGACAGCTCTTTTGGTCTTCGTGGCTCTTGCAACTCCTTCTCTTGTGTAGTATAAAGTCAAATCTTGTTCAGTTCTAACACAGCAGTCCAGCAAGATGGGGATAGCAGAGTTGGTGAAGGATTTATTAATCTTCCAAGCTTTCCCTTTTGTGGTTTAGAGTGAAAATTGGAGTTCACTGTAGTGGGGGAAGAGAACCAGACTTTTGTGGAAGGTCACTTTACTCTTGCTCCCAGCAAGACCGTTGGGCTCAGTCTTTTTCTGGCTAAAGCAAGACAGGAGAGGACTAAAGAAGGCAAGCACACAGACGGTGGCTATGCAAACATGACCACAGAGAATGAGATTCATCCCACTTTTAATTGTATGGATGGGATTCATCTTCCAAATGACCGTGCCTCAGTTGAGGTACACACAGT